CTACGGTCTCAAAGCTGCCGCTATGTATCGTATACATCAAGGGAAAAGGGGTAAAGGGGAGACGGGGAAATTGAAGGAGGTTAACCCCATCTACTCAACTTACTACGGTCTCAAAGCTGCCGCTCTCTCTCTCTCTCTCTCTCTCTCTCTCTCACTCTCTCCGTTCCTTCTGTCCACTTTGACAGGGACGTCGGTCTAGTCTAAAGTTAGGCTCGTCCTTCCTATTTCGGATGAAACGTCTTACGGATCTTGGACACGAATGATATGATCCGCTTAATGTGTCCAGGGCTTACAAGTATTATGATACCCCTTCTAAGCCGGACGTAGAAGCCCCGCCGAATGATCCTGCACTGCCGGCTTACATGCACATTGATGTCGCGTCACTGATATTAATACGTTAATATGCATTCGATAAACTCTGAAAAGTTTGACACTTTGGATTACGAATGAGTCTCACTGTCATGGGAATCTATGGAAATTGAAACTTTTATTCCCCAGAGACCTTTGAGCAATTGCACCGTGTGTCTTATCTGCATTGTTCAATTATTTCATATTATTCGTCTGTGTGAAAGAGGATTACTGAGCTCGTGCACCCTGGGTCACCTAAGCGATTACAATTATCTGAGTCTCTTAACCTAGGTTATATGTATAACGAATAATGACGATTCTCTCAAGATATCCTTTTCTTCAGACTGTTTCTTGCTCCCTCTTCCTGGGACCTTGGACCCTTTTCACGGTTATGCCAACTAACCATATCTTTTGTTAGTTCACAAAAGTTTCCACGAACACGGGAAACACCGAATCTATTATCCGTCTCGTTAGTGGTGCAAGGACGTCCTTGTTATCCTGGCTGACGCTGATGACGTTGCACTGAATACCTTTCAGAATTTCCAATGGTTTTAAGTGACGTCAGCTTCTCAAATTTACAATTGAGTTTAGAAGGTATTTCGAAAATTTATTTTGAAGCTTGTACGCACGATATGACACTTAGTATATGGTTATTAAAGGTTGGGGTCGCCTGACGTAAGCTCAGGTAAGCTCAGGTAAGCTCAGGTATAGGGTTGGTACCTGAAGCCATTGCAGGGTGTCAGTTGCAATCAATGATCAGCGGCTTCGGCTTAACGTCATGGATCTCGCGATGTGTTCTAAGTCTACTTATGTTGTTTACTTCGCCACACGTGTTACCAAACAGGCAAATACTCATTCGTCGTCGTCGGAGTTGTCGGAATAAATTCGAAGTCCTTAGGGAGGAAAAAAGTTTCTATCTTTTCGAATAGAAGTTACCGAGGAACTTTTTTTCAAATTATTTTGTACCATTGTATTCGAGGCTTTTGGAATCCTTTGAAGAAACTCCACTAGGCTTAGGGTTCCTTCGAATCGTCAGGTCTATTCTAATTCAGCTCTAAAACTTGATAATTATTTTGTACAAGTTAGTCATTGCCTTGGATTCTGCCAGTTCTCGAATTTACACGCTGATTTCACAGCTCTCGCGCGACAGCGAGACATGCGGTTTATTATGTTGGCAATTGTTGTTTAGTTGAAGTGATTTTGACGTGGTTAACTTGGTTGACTAGATGGGGTACATGGGAATTTCTAAAATCTCTAGTTTTATCTCACGCGGATGCCTGTGCCAAAGTTCGACGGGACACACGAGGTAGAATTTAATCTTATCTACCCGGGGGAATATTTCTACATGGTGGAATACCCCATGAATCTGGAGGGACGTGAATATTCATCGAAATCCCACATCCTAATGTGG